TTCCGACGATGTTTCATCAACGTTGCAGCTTCATCAGTTCCTGACGACAGAGTGATGCATTAGTATCAGTATCAGTAGTTTGGTATCTGTGTGTCATCAGAGCTCTGACGAAGCTATAGTTGCGCTGCTGTTAGGGCGTCGGTACGCCGTTCTGAAAGGAACTAACTCACACTCGCGAAACTCTAATAACTGCGACCAGGAATTAGTATGTGCGATATTATTTCCTATTTGCATCGATATTCACAAAGATTAAAGCGATAAAGAATTCTAATTACTATATAGCTGTAGATTATCAGAATTTTCACTGATAGAATACCTCGAGACGATAAGTTCAGTTCTTTACTATCTTTTTAATCAGCAGATACCAATAATTAAATTAGAAACCGCGAGATAGCGGTGCTTTGAATTCCTTCGACTCGTTCGCGATCATACATTTGAATCTTTTCACTCATTGACCGATTGCGACTCGTCAACCACGGCCAGGCACAGCATTAAGCATTCAAAGAGCCGACAAAAAAGTAGATGCATTTGCATCTCGCGGTGCAACTGCGACCTACCGGAAAAAAAATATAAATAATTCAACGGTTTTTGTGAGTGTGCCGAAGGGGGAGCCGATTTGGGTCGAGTTGGAGGTCGAGCTGGAGGTCGAGTCGATCGGACCGTGCCAAATTGTCAAATAAATGCATGAAAAATGCTTGCGCGAACGGCAGCGAGCGTCAGGAAGAAGCCGGCGCTTTCAAACCGGAAGTTCCGCTGGCTGACTATAAAATTTCCATCGAAAATGACGCTCTTGCAATCGACTATCCGAAATTATTGAAGTCGTTCCCGTTCGCCGTTGAGCGAACGGTTCGGCACATCCGAAATTGAAAGGCGACCGATGTTGGTAATGTTAGTGGGAAAACTGCGGCGCCTGGGATAAGTAAATGTATTCGAATTGAATAAAAATACCGACGAGAGAAGAAGATCGGGTCGATGGTGTTTTGTATGCAAATTCGCGATGGTAACACTTTTGGAAAAAGCAGTGGGACGTGGTTTTGAATATTTGTTACTTGTTAATTTTTTAAGATGAATATGCATGTATGTTCGGATTAGTCGATATGTAACAGTTCACAGTTGTCCCGTTGTACGAAATGGTAAAAAATTTGTAGCTTCACATACTGTTCGCGTTATTCAATATTTTCGTCACACAGACATTGTTAAATGTTGTTATGGTAATGCCCATGAATTGAAGATATGGTTCTCTATTTTATTACGCTATCAACGGGTTGACACGTCCACTTCGCTAATCTGTTATCGTTTTAAACAGAAACTTCTATAAATACCTTCTAAGCCAGTTTATCGAATCGAGCGGCCTCTCGTCTACAACCCTAAGCATATAAGCAGCTCGCGAAAGAGGAAACGAGAAAACGGAAAATGGAGTGAGATGCATGCAATATCGGTTTCAGAAGCTATCGTATGTCTGAGGGAAGATTCGGTAAAGTGGTACATAATCCCGACGACATCGAGTGGTCGTAACATGAGCGCAATCATTAGCCAGAATATTCGGCGTGCAGTTTTGGAATATCCGGCGATCGAACGGCAGACAAATGGTATATACTGGTCCGGTAAGGAATCACCAGACTTCCAGCCTCGTAGGAGGGCATATCGGGAAAGTTTTAACGGTGCTTCATTAGTGAAAATAGTTTTGGCGCGGCGGTATTCAACAGCGAAACGTCCACCGCGAGACATTGCTAATCCGAACGTACGGTCGTGGAATAGTTGCAGCTGGTCGACGTTCCTCCGTGACAATAATCATCGACCAACCGTAATTGTATAAGGGACCCAAACATGGCGAACGAAAAATTCTATAATTATATTAGTTTGGCATGTCTAACGTCTTGAACACCCTGCGTCGTATGATCTGCTTTTCTCTTCCTTCATTTTCGCTCCAATATTTTGAAATTATTAATACGTAGTGGCGTATATGGCATATGTCAGTGCTGTCCAAGCTAAGCTCTATGATATAAGAAGCTGTCTATATAAATTCTATTACCAGAACATATGTATCAACGAACATAACTTGGCCTGAAAATGCGTTGATCTGTCTGCTTCTAGTGGCCGCGGGTAGAAGAGGACAAAGCCGCGTAAGGAGCTCTGCCCGTGGACAGCTCTGGCGTAAGTGATATATCAGCAGCTTTCCTCTCGATTCTTCCAAACAACCAACTCTCGTTTATTGCACAATTGTCATCTGAATATTCCATTATCAAAAAATAAAAACAAATTAGAAGGACGCAAAAATCGACGTCGTTCTCGTTGTACGGTTGCGTACCGAACAAGCAACGTGGTCTGAGAAGCGGAACATTCCATTTTTAACCGCGGTTATATTTTCATAACGAGACAGCTCGTAATAGCGGATATCTTTTTTGCGAACAAACGTCGTCAGTTGCGCGAGAAGTCGCTAAAGACTGTGGGTCTGTTGAATGGAGTATTTAGCGATTGACAATGAGGATTCAGAAAAACTGATACAGAAAATCGACGACTGTTCCTCTTTGGTCCGTCGATTCCCTGATTTTTTATTGCTCCCGGCAAAACATTTTCTTTTTTCTTTTCATTGTCTTTTTCGTTCCGTACTCCCTTCTCCACCTATCCAGGTTCTCTCCTTGGGACTTGGCTCACCTCTCACCACGCCCATCCTGTCGTCGTTTGCATAAAGTGGGCTATCTGCGCTTTTAATATACGTAAATGAAGTTACGCTGCGGAACTAATCGTATTTACATGCGGAACGGCGATCTCCTTTGAGCCCTTGTCGCACTTATTACTGCAGTTTAGTCGACGAAGATCGTTTTACGGCGAAGATGCGACCGGCATTATAACGTGGATCGATCAGCGACTGATTTTGTTTGACTTCACGAACTCGGAATAATTGGTACGTTGGCGTTTCAATTTTGTTTGACCACGTACGGACTGATACCACTTACGAATATTCGAACGTTGTGTTTATTTCGATGCGTATGAACGAACTTTTAACAGGATAACGACTTTTTATCGCATTATATTAAAAATATCGGTAGAAGGTTATTTATTTTTGGCTATTAATTAATTGGCTATTGATTATGAAAATGAAAAATTAAATATCGTTACGTTCGATTTACGCCGAATTTATAACGTGAATTCATAAATACGTTACACATTATAAATTCCTACTCCTCGAAACTTCGATATCAAGCTAAAATTTTTCGATTAACGAAGACGACCATCCAATTTTCAGGTTAAAAAATTCAATTTGGAAGTTCAGAAATGATTTTAATTTTGAGGCGAAGCACGTGATAGTTTTCGCGAAGAATTCGTCTCTCGATTGGTCACGTTAGAGCGCGAGACGATCAAATAATTCAGATTGGAATCCCGGCGAATCGTGGCTCGATCAAAGATTTTCAATTACGTCAAGGAACAAAGTTTCGTTTTATCGGTGGTCCACGAGTCGCGTCTCTATGACAGGAGGGGATTACGCCATTACACATTAATGAGAGCGAGGCTTCCGCGTAAGATACGTACGAATGAAAGATAAACGCCATCCTCACGAGACACTGTTTGCAGAGCTCTCATTGTACGTTACTTGAGAAGTTGCCGCAACTACGTCGAAACGATATTCTTGCCAGGGCTGCCGCGGAAACTTTCGATGAGACGTGACATTTTGTCGTTCCTCCGCAATCATGCTTAATTAATTATCGATCGAGCCTCGCCCGTTGCTCCCTCCCACACCCCCGCTTGATAACTGCCTTTTCTTTCGTAAATTTCGATCAGCAAACCGTGTGTTTGATTTAGAAATTGTTACGTGAAAGTGTATCGTTGATATAAATCATCTAAAGTAGATTTGTCGTAGTTGCAGTCGTCTTATTACTTTTTTATTTGCTTTCAATCGCCAGTAGTATATACCGTCATCTGTAATAAAAAGTTTCCGATAAAGTACTGTGTGACAAGATTAATCCATTAAGAGGCAACGTTACGTTCGTACATTTCATTTTAAAGTTTTATTTCAAAACTTCTCAAAGCCACTTTGATCCAGTTCTGTGATATTTCATTCGAGAAAATTTCTAAAACTGAAAGGCATAAATAAATATCAAGTCCACTGGCAATACGAATATTCGTACGTAGCACTATTTGAAGTTGAAACGCATAAAATAATCACTCGCGTTAGACAGAGAGCAACAGTTACAAGAGACGAAACGTTGATTCGATTTGACACATAGGGTATGAATTTCCTTAGGATTTAGACAGTGCGTATGAGAATACCAGTCTGGTATTATCGTCTGCCACAACGAACGTTGCATTTCGGTCACGCACGATCGAGTATTATCGTTGTCATTGTTATATCGAGTATTCGTGAGGTAGCGAGCATACGGCTGTAATCGTGGTCTGGAGCAGCGCTTACAGAATATTGCGGCCCCGAACACGCTGTATTGAGATACACATATCGATAACGGACTACGGATAAGCACGCTCTAAGAGCTTGGTGAACCGCTGATCCGACTTGCACCCACAGTTCTAGAATGCACTGCCGCAATTAAAAATATTTATTCGCGTTGCGAGTGTGGTAGATACGATTATGGATTCTAAGATTCTTACGGCGATTATCCCGACGTACGTAGGAAAGATTTATAGCTTTTGTTTATATTCGCATATCCGCGGTGTGATCTATAGTTTAGAAGTTAATTAGTTGTTAGAATGCAGCGGTGTTTCCAGTACACTTCAAGCAATTAATATTATCATATATTTATGAACTTAACACGAACGAAACCCACGATTAACTTTTATCTATAACGCTTGCATATATTATCAAGTGGTTGCAAAGATTCATTCCATCCGTGGTAAAATCCTTGACAATGTCTTTTCTCGTTCATCGCACTAACGAACGACAGGATATTCGCACTGGTTTAACAAATATACCAAAAACGCCAAATCTATCCATCCTACTAATACTCCAACTAATTCACTAACCCTCTTCTCTTTTCTCTTCTTTTCAGATTCTGTGTAACTCACCCCCACTAACACCTACGCTTCGTCCAACAACGAAAGCGCGTTAATCGCGTCCGAAATGACTTCTCCGTCGATGTAACGAAAAGGGATTTAGAACGAGTCGCGCGCGAATCGTAGTCGATCGAGCAACACGAGCGGTCGTCGCGGTCGTTCGTCGCTCGAGATCGAACATGCGAATTTCTGAAAATGCGCAGGACGAGCAGCAACGGTTTGAAGCTCGACCTGACGGAGAACACACCAGGTAGCTCGTTATCGAGGCTGCCTAATTTAGTCGAGCATGCGGAGACCTGCCAGGCGTTGTCCACCGGAACCGGTGAGAATTTAAGCAGCAAATTGCCAAACGTGGTCGAAGGCTCGATGGACTATGGTAGCGAGCGTAGATCCTCCCGGTACCTCGAGTACCAAGATTCTAAGCCGTATCAGGATGGCCAGTCGGCATCGGGGTTGCCCCCGTATGAGCAGGGCTACCACGATCAGTCGAGCAGGGGCTACAGAAGCTACGAACGAAAGCCATACGACAGGGAGGATATTGACCGATACGATAACAGAATTTATCCAGAGGATAACCTGAGGTACGATCGTCGGGGGGATCAGAGAACGTATCAGGAGTCAGACTTGGACGCGCCGTACGAGAGAAGCGATGCCCAGAAGCTCAGCAGGACTTATCCTACGGAACTTCAGGAGGCAGGTGGTAGGCGATACTCGAGAGATTTAACAGATTACGAGTACGCATCTAGATACGCGGAAGAAACGTTGAAGCTCGAGCCGAAGAAAGATCACCATCACCATCATCATTCGGGCAAAGTGTACGAGCCGACTCCGTCGAAAGGCTATGAATCCGGGGTGAAGACGCACGATTCTGCTTACGAGTTGTCTTGCGCCGCGCAGCAAGACCTTTCCGGCAGAAAATACGAAAGTAAATATCACTCTGTCAGTAAGATGTACGGGACACTGCCGCGATACGAAACGGGTAAATCGTACGAGCCTAGATCGTACGAGTACGAAGAACAGGCTTACGAAACCGGTGCCAAGCCGTACGACTCGAAGTACGAGTTGACCAGCTCGAAGAGTTACGAGAGGGCCAAATACGACGGTTCTTCGTCCTCGAGGTATCAAGATAAATCGTACGATCAAACGTTGAAGATCGGTGAATTGGGTTCCTCTTCGTCTGCCGCGTACGCTAGAAAGACTCAGGATCAAGAGGAGACAAACGCGGAAAAGATGAACGGATACAGGAAGAACAATTTCGAGGCGTACGGCGTTTATTCGGATCCCGAGGATGATCATGGATTCTTGGCCGAGAAAAAGACGCCACAGTATCCGTACAAGGGCGTAGTAGTGAATGTTAGCGGGGAGTCGAGCGTCATTGACCAGAAACGTGGGAAGGATGGCAGGCAAACGGAAGTCGTCGGAAATCCTTGGTGCAGGCCTACCATACTGTTACTCCTTTTGGTCCTTCTTGTTGTTATCTTCGTGTTCGTCGCTGGAATTCTACTGTATCTAAACTGTGAGTCATTTTGCTTATATCTCTTCGCTAGTTTCCATTCTATCGGGTTTATATTTTACAAGGATTTTCAAATGGATACATAGTTTGCATTATGAACATATTCGGAATCGCTTGATACGATTCCGAAACGCGAAGAGTCTTAGTAGTTAGGAATTTCTTATATTTACGACCGAGAACGTAACGAGAAAATTGTTGGTACTATAAAGACAACAACGGTATCTTAAAGGAATCGGTATTCTCGTTCAGATTCCTTCTTCGCCGTGATGTTTACTCAAACCAGTTGCTTTCTTTGTGCCTGTACATTTATTTTAGAAACGATGAGAGTCATTTAAAGTTATAGGTCACGTTCCAGGGAAAACGAATGCCGCTAGCTAACAGAGAAGCTTTGTTAAAGAAAGATACGAAATTAGCAAAGTTTTCTCGGCTATGGCTACAAAGACTCTTCTCGTTGTTGGAACGCGTGCTAATAGTAGGTCTGTTTCGATAGCGGATGTTCTTTTTCTTTCGTTCCCCGTTATTTCGTTTCTTCATTTCGCGTCCAACCGATACCAAAGGGCCATTTAGTTAATGAGCATCCGATACCAATTATTTACGGTCGTCCATGTGACCGCCATAATAATGGACGGCGACGACGACCACGACGACGACGACGACGGCAACAGCGACGTCGACGACACGTGCTGACGATACGTTAAGCCGGAACGGTTGCTGTCTCCCAGCCAGTTTTATATATCGAATTTGACATGCCCGGCACGTACGGACTTGCCACTAGCGAAACTATTCGGTTGGAATTACAATGTGAACGGTAAATGGAAGAAGAGGGTTTAAAGAATAGAGGTGGACAAGAGTGACGTACACCTTGGGAATCCATTTTGCTCCACAGTGAATGTTCGGACGCACGATGTACGGGATACCGCACCGAATGAAATGTATTAAATTTTCCTTTCGACGCGGTTGTCGGACTTGGAAACGATTTTTGAGCACTTTGTCAGATTCTTTGGAAAATTTTCCTCCTTAGTTACTGCCTATGTAACTACGCTTTTATTCGTTACTCGCTCTGAGTACTTACCTGAAAGCATTTGAAATTTGATGATTTTGCGTTAGATTGGGAATATTGTGGCAATGATAGAAATTATTTAGACCAGAACGATAGATACGATATAAATTGTTTGAAAAATATTTTAAAAAATATAAATTCATATTATATTTAAAAAAGATAATTTTTACCATTCGAAAGAAGGTGTAACTCGTTTTTTGATGGTCATACGTTTAGAAGAAGTAGATATTATTTAGTTGCAATCAAAATTTATTTGACTGTAAGACACGTACGTAGTAAGCGTGTAAGATGGTGAGAGAAAACAGATGTCAGGAGAATCATTGGACATCTTTCCCTCCTCGTTTATGAGGTAGCAACACGCCCGGGAACCGGCATCATGCTGTGCTCTCTAGAGGAATATAAACTGACTCATTTTGAACCAGCTCGTCGTTCACCTATGACGTTTGTTCTATGTTTTGATTCGAAATTCAATTACGGTTTAAAAGCGCATGTAAAACGATGCTGAGAACAATATATAATTTAATATCGTTCAATTAGTCTAGTCAATAATTAATAACTTCCTTGGTTACTCGTGAAAATAATTCAAAGCATATAACACAGGATTGTGATTATCAATTATCTAAATTACATTTTCATTAAATTAATCAACGAACGCTACAAGTGGTATGAATATTTATTTGTGCGCGCGAGTATAATTTAGTCGTAGATTAAAATTTAAGGAGTGCAGGTAATTCTTTCATTTTCTATAACGTACGTGTACGTAGAACGTACAAATATTTGACATTGCTTACAAATATTTTGACAGAATATACTTTATTAGACTTTATTGTTGTATACAACAATGGATTCAGAACGTTCCGAGTTTCACAATTGAAAAATAAATAAATGTCTCATTCCGAGATTCATATACGAGTTCTCCCATTACGGTAGGTACCCGTTCTATAGATCAGTGACTCGACCAATTACGTTTGAGTATCCATTCTTATACACACATAGAGTAGTTCCACAAAAATTATCATCGTAGATATATTATAATTTATTGCACTATCTCTTCTGCGTTTTATTATTTCTACATATCTACGTTAGGTGTCTGTTTGGCCGTGCGTCATTCGTTAAAATCTCTTCTGTGGTGTTTTCGGTGCCGTCGGTTCGATTCGGCAAACGTCGATCGGGAACAATGAAAGCGAGAGGGCGAGCAAACGAAATGCTGCCGTCGAGAAGAGGAGAGGAAACTAAAGAGAGAGAAAGAGAGAGAGGAAGAGTTTTCACACAGTGGCCAGGAGGCATCGGGCATGGACGTTTTCCCTTGCGATTTCCGAGCGGTATCGTGTCGGTACTTTCGACGAACGATGACCGCATGCAACGAACAGAGAGAAGGTTCTCTGTCCCTGGACGAGAAGACCGGAAAAATAGCAAGTTGAAAAGGAGGGTCGGTAGCAGACGCCCCTCCTGTTCTCGACTATTCCGAGTGGCTGCATTTGGCAGCAGCCGACAGGGCGTTTGAGCGATTCGGTTTATTTTCGGGTCAAGTTTTCGTCCGACCGCTTCGCAATCAGCCATTGCATTGTCCAGAGGACAATACATTTACTGCGAGCAACGGCGTAGGAATTCGTCGAACGCCAGGCAACTCGTTCACCTTCACCCACCCCTCCGTGATCGTCAACCGCTCTCGTCGAACGTCGTATTTTCGGTCGGGATTTTCGGAAATTCGATTTAACCGGCGAAGTCGCG